TCGAGGCTAACAGGGTATCTGTCGCACATTGCTTTTGATTTGCCTTTCCTTTGCTTTGCCCTTGCTTTTGCTTTGCTTTGCTTTGCTTGTGCGTTGCTGTCGCTGCTGCTGCTTTGCCTTTGCTTTGCTGCTGTGCTATGCTATGCTCTGCTATGCAGTGCTATGCTACGCTGCGCTGTGCTATGCTGTGCTGTGCTGTGCTGTGCTGCGCTATGCTATGCTATGCTATGCTATGCTGCGCTATGCTATGCTATGCTGGGCTATGCTCTGATATGCGGTGCTGCGCAGTGCTATGCTACACTATGCTATGCTATGCTGCGCTCTGCTATGCGAGAGCTCAGCGGAACTAGGATGAATGTTCGTTAAGCTAAGATACGCCTAAGCTAGGATGAAGCTAAGCTAAGACTAGATAGGCTCAGCTAAGATGAGATATGCAACGCTAAGCTAAGAGGACGTAACTGGGGTAACCGCGGGGCGGATACTGGGGGAACCGCCCGGGGCGTTTTCCACTGCCTGGCCCCTGTAAGCCCAGAGAATAAGAACCCTTCCAGGCACAGCCTAGGTAGGGCACTGTGTTCTTAGAACATTACCCCAGTGCGACCCTATCTAGAAGTTGGAGCCCCTAGGAAAGCAGCATTCGTTGATATGCTATGCTATGCTATGCCATGCTATGCTGCGCTATGCTATGCGTTGCTATGCTGTGCCGCGCTACGCTACATCCCCAGGTCGAAAATGTTTTCCTCTTGGACTAAAAATATGAAAACAGCCATGGATCAAATTGGATCCCTTTTTTTTCGGGTGTGGGACAGTTTCGTGGATCCTATTTCTGTGTTGCTGCGACTCCCCCTACGTAAGGGGTGCGAAACCCTGCATCCCCAGGCCGAAAGTGCGTTCTTCTTGGAATAAAAAATATGAGAACAGCCATGGATCCAATTCGATCCCTTTTCGATCCCTTTTTTTCGGGTGCGGGACAGTTTCGGGGATCCTATTTTTGTGCTGCGCGGATCAAATTTCCTGTGTGTGCAAAAACGATGGATCCATTTTTCCTGGGAATATATATATATATATATATATATATGTGTATGTATATATATACAATTACAATATAATAGTTATGATAAAAAATAATAATAATTAACATCCGGGACCAGGGGAAATGGGATCCGCGGAGCACCGCAAGTGAAACATCATGCTATCCACGGAACTGTGGATATGCAGACCAATGCTCTGATTCTACGGGGGAGGGGGGTCTTCCCAGGATGAACAGGGGAAGGATGAGGGAAGATACAAGAGGAGGTGGGAGGATAACAAATGGGACGCAGGGGGGAGAGAGGATAAATAATCAGGGAAAAGGGGGGAGGAGGAAGGAAGAGGAGAAGGAGGAGGAGAAGGAGGATGAGGGAGGAGGGAGGAGAGAGGAGGGAGGCGGACGGACGAAGGAGGAAGGAGGAGGAGGGAGGAGGTGGGAGGAGGAGGGGGGAAGTGGGAGGAGGAGGAGGAGAGGAAAGGATGAGGGAGGGCGAGGACACGCAAGCAAAGTGTCCAAGTCGGAAGCTCGAGCGCAACAGCGGGCCCGGCCACCTCCCTTCATTTCTCCCATAACGCGTGGTTGTTCGAGCGCCACCGCGGGCCTGGCCATCTCCCGAAAGTCCTCCCATTTGCTCGAACGCCACAGCGGGCCCAGCCAACTCCCGCATCCCCAACCATAGCGTATCTACCCCACCTCGAAGAGAGCGCTACATGTATCCGCTCACCTGAAAGGCGCGTCGCTTCCGACATGTGGGGCTCAAGAGCAAAATCTTCTGGCCTGCGGAACTGGGATTTCGAATTGCGTCTCCCTCTTACGTAAGGGTTGCTAAATCCTGCATCCCCCGGCCGAGTTTTTCCCTCTTGGACTAAAAATATGAGAACAGCCATGGATCCAATTGGATCCCTTCTCGGGTGTGGGAAAGTTTCGTGGATCCTATTTCGGTGTTGCTGCGTCTCCCCCTACGTAAAGGGTGCGAAATCCTGCAGTGGGACTTCGAACTGCGTCTCCCTCCACGTAAGGGGTGTGAAATCCTGCATCCCAAGACCGAACGTTTGTTCCTATTGGACTAAAAATATGAAAACAGCCATGGATCTAATTGGATCCCTTTTTTTCGGGTGTGGGACAATTTCGTGGATCCTATTTCTGTGTTGCTGCGTCTCCCCCTTACGTAATAGGTGCGAAACCCTGCATCCCCAGGCCGAAAGTGCGTTCTTCTTGGAATAAAAATATGAGAACAGCCATGGATCCAAGTGGATCCTTTTTTTTCCGGGTGTGGGACAGCTTCGGGGATCCAATTTCTGCGTTGCGCGGCTCCACTTTCCTGTGTGAGAAAAAACGATGGATCCATTTATTTCCCGGGAATACATACTTATACGACCACCCTTCGGGTGATAAGGAGGTTCGGTGGGGGAGGAACCAACGTCTCACTCGATCGGTCTCACTATCGATCTCACTATCGATTTCAGTATCGGTCTCGCTCGATCGATTTCCCTCGATCGATCTCACAATCGATACCACTCGATGTATCTCACAATTGGTATGACTATCGATCTCACAATCGAGCTCACAATCGATTTCACAATCGATATCACATTTGTTTCACTATCGATCCCACTATCGATATCACAACCGCTATCACAATCAACGTCGTCATCATCAGCAACAACGACATCAACATCAACAACCTCACCTCATCACCAACATCATCATAATCGGGACACCGGCCTTATCGTCAACACCAACATCATCATCATCACGGTCATCAATATCAGCGGGACACCACCATCATCACCATCACCATCATCACAATCATCACCATGCACATCGTCATCATGGTCAGCAGGATCGGGACACACTCATCGTCATCATCATCATCGGCAGCAGCATCATCATCGGGACACCATCATGATCACCATCGTTATCATCATCATCGGGAAACCATCATCATCATATCATCCTCATCATCGGCATCATCATCATCAACATCATCAACATCATCATCAGCATCATCGTCATCATCGGGGCACCATCATCATCATTACCAACATCAGCATCAACATCATCATCATCATCGCCATCGGGACGCCATCATCATCATCAACATCATCATCGTCATCATCATCACCACCATCGGAATAATCATCATCATCGGGACGCCATAATCATCATCAACATCAGCATCATCGGGACACAATCATAATCAGCATCATCAACATCAACATCATCATACTCATCATCATCGGGACACCATCATCCTCATCATCATGATCATCGACAGTCATCATGATCATCAGCATCCGCATCATCGGGACACCATCAACATCATCAACATCATCACCGTCATCATCATGATCATCGACATCATCATCATCATTCTCATCATCATTATAATCATCATCGGGACACCACCATCATCATATCATCATCATCATCATCATCATCATCATCATCATCATCATCATCATCATCATCATCTTCGTCATCATCATCATCATCAACAGCATCACCATCACCATCATCGTCATCATCATCATCATCAGCATCATCATCATCATCATCATCATCATCACCATCACCATCATCTCATCATCATCATCATCATCATCATCATCATCATCATCATCATCATCATCATCACTGTCACGCGAAGTGGTTCCCCAAGGCTTGCTTTTGTTGCGTTCTCGCCTGCACTTGTCCCCCCTCACTGTTGCCCCCTGGCTTTCGGATCCTAGCGCGGCTGTCCCGCGGCCGTGCGGGAGGTTGCGAGCACCCCCCCAGCACGCCCGCGGCGAGGCGCAGTCCCTGGAACGCATCCCGAGGCTGGAACATCGGCATGAACCAGTCCGACCCAAGGCTGGAGAATCGTCACGAACCAACGAGGCCGTTAGAAAACCCCGAACCTCAAACCAAAAGCTCTGCCCCACCGATCCATCGCACATTCCCGAAGGGACACGTACTGGAAGGAAATATTTGCTGGGCCAAGAAGGTGCGCGACTGAACATGCAATCTCAGCGTTTGAAACTGCTGGCCACATGGACGTGGTGTGGCGCACCTCGTCACGCAGACGACGCACAACCCAATGCCGAATCCTTTGGTGCGGGGAAACTGGCATGGCTCGGGCTGATCGGCACAAAGTTCGAAACATTTGGGGGATGTCCGATCACATGGCTCGCGCAACTGTAACCATAAAACAGTCAACCACCGCTGGCTGGATAATCCGCGATGACTACAGGCGGCCAGCGAGATTGTGATCGGTTGACGTCTCGCCAACGCCATACAGAAAATATGAATCCTCGTCGCGGATGCATGTTGCCACGATCTGCCGAGACACCCCACACTGGTCCTGTAGCACTCGCAGCTCGGCTTCGCCGCAGTGTGGCGGCTCTTCCACCCACGTCTATGAGCTCAAGACTGCCCTCGCTTCTTGACGGGTGCGCACTCCTGGCTTGCGCAGAATCCCCTCGGCCCTTCCAGTCATCGAGCTGGCACAATGCACAACAGATGCGGAACGAAGGGGCTGTCCTTGCCAAGGCTAGCCGCGGCCACGATCAGGGCCCCTGACCTATCGATCTGCGGAGCACCGGAGCCCCAAATGAGCCCAAAGCGGCCCTCACCCGTCGGTCGGAAGACATGGGCAGAAACCTGAAGCAAGACGGCGCTGAAAGTATGTAGACTGGGCCTCAGCCCGTACCCCGAGGACGAGGGTGGAGGGACTGCCATCCGACTTTTGAGGTGGGCGGGCGCCCGAGACAGGTAGGGACTGGGGCGCCCGAGAGATACACGGAGGGGGAGGAGGAGGAGGAGGAGGAGGAGGAGGAGGAGGAGGAGGAGGAGGAGGAGGAGGAGGAGGAGGAGGACGCACTTTCAGCGACCAGCGTGCACGCACAGCGCCCTCGCTGTGCACCGTCGCACACGCGCTGTCCAGGGGCCAGTCAGAGGAGGCCACGACGACGGCGGGCCGCGGCGGCTCCTTGTGGAGTCGCACGGGGTCCGTGGGGGGCGTCATCGTCTCCAGCAGCGTGGACTGGGTCGGGAGGACGAGGGCGAACGCCAGCAGGGCCAGGTCCTGAGGGAGCCGACGCTGGGCTGGGAGAGAGGCGGGAGGTGAGGAGGAACTGACATGGAGTGGCGAGGCTCGAGCTGAGCGGTGCTTTCCGTTTTCGCTCTGTTCTTGCTGTCCTTCGTGCTGCCTTCGTGTTCCCTCTGCCGCGAAGCGACATCAAAAGGACACCGGTCCACCAAATCGCCAACACACCGTTTAGCTGGAGCCCTGGAATGGGGTGGACCCCATTGCGATCCGATGTCGAGCGAAAGCCCGACAGTGCCGAAACCCTAGCTACGGGGAAGGAGGGGGGGAACAGGAGGAGTGGGAAGAGGAAGGGAGACGGACGGAAGGATGATTCTGAGGAGAAGGAAATGGTGGTGGAGGTACGTAGGAGAGGGGGGGGGGACAAGCTAGGCACGCTCGTGCCATGGTTATCTGACATCCTACTCCTCCCACCCATCCCTTGCCACGGGGATGTTTTTATCGATATATGCGGACGCGTGGCATAGCGGACCTGGAACTCCCCAGAAGACCCCACCGCGCTGGGGAAGACATAGGGAAGACATAGAGGCAGAGCGGTAGCTCGGAGGGAGGAAATTTGAAAGGAAGGGGCAAGAGGATGAGGAAACCTGATCGGACAAGAACGGGAAGCGTCGACTTTGCCCATTGGGATCATGCGGGGGGAAAGAACAAACGGACGGTGGCCACGACAAGGCGGCGGATGTCGAAGATGACAGCGTGGATGACACGAAAAGCAGCGAGGAGAGGAGGATCATTAAGAAGTCGGAAGTCAAGCACGAGAACGAGGAAAACGAGATGGAAGAGGAAGCGTACGCGGAATTACGAAGCGGAGGATGAAGGTGATGATGATGAGGAAGAGGAGAAGAAGGACGACGACGACGACGACGAATGAGGACGTCGAAACAGGGAAGATCCTCGTGATCCTTTGAGGCTACCCTGGGGGCTGCTGGGGCTGCCTGGAGCTATCTTGGGGCATCCTGGGGGCTTTGGGGGGCCTGTCGGGGTCCCTTCGGGGGCTAGCTTTATGTCAGGCGTGTCCCCCTACAGGGGGATTTTCGATGAAAAATAAAAATACCAAAACAATACACCAGAAAGGCCAGAAAATACCCAACAAATAGTTCCCAGACTATGTTTGGATTATTTTTGGACCCTTTTGGGGGTATTTGTTATTTTCCTTCGAAAATCCCCCTGTAGGGGGACATGCCCGACTTAAAGCTAGCTACTGGGGTTTCTTGAGCCATCCGGGCGTGTTCTTAATTAGGGTTCTGTGGGGGCTACCTCAGGCTGTCTTGGCGCCAGCTTGGGCCGTCCTGGGCCGGTTGGGGGCTGCCTTGGGCTCCCTCGGGGGCTTTTGCGGGTCCGCTTTGGGTCCTCCACGGGGGCCTTTGGAGGGCTCTCGAAGGCCACGGCCAGTCCCAACAGAAGCGATTCCAAGACGATGGTGATTCGGAGCTTCCTCGAAGCTGGTTTGTTGGAGGTGTCTCGAGCGAGACGCCAGACCCCCCCCGACGCCAAGTTTCTGTCACAACGTCGACTCCCCGATGTCTCGACCCATCCCCCTGGCCAGATGCCAGAGGCCAGCAGCAGCCCCTCGCCCGCCCAGAGGCTCCCTCCCACCCGAGGAGGGGGGGGGAGGGAGCCTCTGGGCGGACGACGAGGGGCTCTGGTCGTCGACGCGAGGCTCCCTTCCCGCACCTCCTTCCCCAGACCCCTGGCGTCAGGATTTTGCCACGACGTCGACTCCCGGAGGTCTCGATCCCTCTGGCCAGATGCCAGAGGCCAGCAGCAGCCCCTCGTCCGCCCAGAGGCTAACTCCCCCGGAGGAGTGCGGAGGAGGAGGAGGAGGAGGAGGAGGAGGAGGACGAGGAGGAGGAGGAGGAGGAGGAGGAGGAGGCAGGAGGAGGAGGAGCAGGAGGAGGAGGCAGGAGGAGGAGGAGGAGCAGGAGGAGGAGCAGGAGAAGGAGGCGGCGGCGGAGGAGGAGGAGGGAGCACGTGGGCGGACGGCGGGAGGCTCTTGCCGTCGACGAGAGGCTCTTGTCGAGAGCGACGCCGCGACGAGAGGCTCGCGCCGTGATGTCTCTCACGACGGGAGGCTCCCTCCCCCCCGCCTCCCTCCCTTAGGAGGCAACTACTGGGAGGTTTTCGTCGGAAGGACTAAGGAGGATTAAGCCCCAATTGGGGGGCTGTTACGCCAGCGGGATTAAGCGAGATTAAGCGAGATTAAGCGGGATTAAGCCAGATTAAGCGGGATTAAGCCGGATTAAGCGGGATTTCGGACCAGGGCTGAATCAGAATTTGACCTCCCAGGAGTTGCATCCAGACCTCCCCAGACCCCCGACGTCAGGATCTCTTTACAGAAAACCGTTCAGAGCCAGAGGCCTTCTGAGAAGCCCCGCCGCCTTCTGAGAAGGCCTTCTCCTTCTCACTTCCCCCCTCGCTCGCCGCCGATCCGCGGCTTCCGGTCTACACAACGTCGACCCCCGGGGGATTTCGACCAATTCCCTGGGGCCGCTTCCTCATACCGAACAAATTATTTGACGGTCCCGAGGTCCAGCGAAGACCCCGAGAGGTCGGCAATAGTGGAGAACTCTCCGTCGCGAGGGGGGTGGGCCTCCTTTCTTCGCGAAAACAAGAATCCCGCTGGACGTATTTGCTAAGTTTGAGCCTCGGGGCGGCACTGCCGAAAAAAACAACCTGGGATGAGGAACCGGTCCCTGGGGGGAGGATCCAGCTCGGCGGCGAGCGCAGCGAGGGGGGAAACGAGAAGGAGAAGGTCTTCTCAAAAGGTGGCGGGACTTCCCAAAAGGCGTCCGGCCTTCTGAGAGGTTTGCTTTGCTTTCGGGAGAAATTTTGTTGGCGGGCGATGGTGCAGAGTGACTGGCATAGGGGGCTCCGATACGCCTCCGATAATGAATCCGCACTTTCCTGGGCGGGTCGGGGCTATCAGACCCCTATCGGCGATTAGTGGGCGATTCGGGTTCGACGCGCACCCCCCTAATTATGTCTATCCCCCCCGCTGACGTTAAGACGGGCGCGTCCCCATATAGGTGAACTTTGGGCGACAAATAGAACGTACGCAAACAAAAAGTATTCCCCAAATGCCCCAAAATAGGGAACAAATCGTCCCCAGTCGATTAATCGCTATTTTTGAATACCCCCCCCTGTAAAATGGACAAGCCCGACTTAACCCTATCGCTGCCCCTGATGAGAAAACCTTTCAGTAGGCGCCGGGGACTTCCGAACTTCCGAGACGGCTCGCTCCTCCTCGCCTCCTCTCCCGGGCGCGCGCCGCCGAGGGCGGGGCTCGGCCCCTCTCGTCGGAGAGCTGGGCCCACAAAAAGCGCAGAGGCTCGGCGTGCGCAGAATGCTTCCGGCGCTCCGCGCGGAGCGCCAAAAGTTCACGCGCATATGTTTTTGTTCCCCTTCTCCGAGGCAGTTCCGCCTCGCCCAGCTCCTGCCCCTCCTCCTCCTCCTCCTCTTCCTCCTCCTCCTCTTCCTCCTCCTCCGCCTCCTCCTACTCCTCCTCCGCCGCCCCCCCCTCCTCTTGCGATTATGAAGCGCCATGGGCTGCGCAACGATGAGGTTGAACAGCTTCACCACCGCCGCGCGGCTGCGCCTCGGCCCGCCGTCGCAGCACGGCACGGCCGGGTTTAACCCGCCGCCGTCTCGCGGAGGGCAGCCGCGCCAGCCGCCCAGTCACCGCCGAGGCTCGTGCACAGCTGCCGCGCCGTCGCCCCGTGCAACGCGACGGACACCTCGGCGCCCCACTGGCGACTGCGGAGCTGCCCTCTTTCCCCCCCCCAACTCCTGGGCGAGGCTCCGCGCCGGCATCCGCAGGTGGCGCAGAGCGGCCCTGCCGTGCCGGCCCGCCGTCTCGACGGCCAGGGGGGGGACGGACCGCGGCGCGCGCCCGGCCGGGTAGCGGCGCCGCTCGTCGCCCTCGTTCACGGCGCCGCCCCTCTGCGCCGCTGCCGCGAGGTGCTCGGCATCGCCGGGCGCGGCGTGCCGGGCGGTGACGTCCGCGAACTGGCGCGGGCATCCCGGCGCCTGCGCCTCGAGGTCCAGGATCGCCTCCTCGCGCTCTTTCTGCAGGGGCGCCCCGCGCTCGCTGCATGGCCCTGCGGGCGGGTCGAGCGTCGTGCCCCGTGCGTTGCTGCGCGCGCAGCGCCATTTCCAGAGGCCCCATGCGGGGGCGGGGACTTGGCGCGCGGCGTGGTAGCTGCACCCCCCCTGGATGCGCGCCCGCGCGTCTTCCACCGCCAAGCTGCGCGCCACTGCGCCGCCGCCGCGTGCGCACCAATAGGCGTGGCACGCTTTGGAGCACAAGGGCTCCCCGCACTGCTGTCCGGCTCGCGGGCCCGTGCGAGTGCGGTTCTGGCCGCGGGCGTCAAGGGGCGCGCAGTCCTGGCCCAGCAGGGCGCGCGCCGTGGCGCAATAGTCTGCGGTTCCCAGCGAGGCCAGCTGCCAGCCGGCCGCGCGCGGGCCGCCGCAGGGGCGCAGGCTCGCTCGTTCCTCGAAGCCGGAAGCGCTTAGCAAGGCTACGAAATTGTTCTGGTCGGCCGCGCCGCCCGCGGCGCCGGCGGCGCGGCTGCCGCGCCCGGTGGCGGCGGCGCCCTCAGGGCGGCGCTGGCGGCTCGGCAGGCAGCGGCCAGCGCGAGGGCGCTCTGGTCCAGGTCGCCCAGCCCCGAGACCCCCGCCCTCGCCCGAACCTCCGCGAGGTTCTGCGCCCAGGAGCCCACGCAAGCCGCCGGATCGCGACCTCCTCTTGGCTCTGGAGCCCTCTCCCGCCTAGACGTAGCCGCAGTCTGCGCTGCGCCCGGTTGGAGGACGTCAGCGGGTCTCAGCGGAGCAGGCGCTGGCAAGCCTCCAAGACCGCCTCGTCGTAGGCGGCAGCCGCGGCCCTGGTGCAGTCGGGCGGCGCGGCGCAGCAAATACGTGAT